AACCCCAAGAGTATGCAGCTTTGCACATGGAGTCTGCCACAACACGTTTACCAAAGTACATGAACGTAGACACGAGCTGAGGAATCAGCTGAGCTGCTGCATCATTTATGATCTGCTATAGTTTCCAGTCTCCATGGAGGTTTTTCTTGGAGACGTCGAATCTACAGTATTAGGTGTGAAACTGTTGTACTAAACCGCAGGAGATAGACTCTATTCAGCTCGGACAACATTTCACAAGCACGCCGATCAAAGCTTGCTACACTCCCGTTTAGTCAACTTAACGGCCCAAATAATGCTTGGGTCATGAACTCATCGCTGTTGGTCTTTCGAGGGTGCCTGACAATGGTTGTTAGTGCACAGCACCAGCCGGGCCAAATGACAAGATCAGAGACATAGATCTTCCTAGTTCAAATGCTGAAAGGTGACTTGTGCAAACGTTATGTAGCAAAAGGAACTGTACTATGGCACTACACGCCATTCACAATAATCAAAAATGCCCACTTGACAAAACAGAATTTCATCAACGGAGTCCCAGGATTTTTCTTCTGTACATATGCATTATGGAGTCATAGCATAAGGGAGACGGCACGGTAGACTTTCAGCCTAAATCATAACGAGGGCCAGCTGGGCAGCTCAAAAGAGAGCTCTATGCACTATTGGCAGAGTGGTATACATGAATAGAGAGTGACCACCCAGTGCATGAAGCTTTTCGTGTCACCCTAGAAAATTTCAAAAATTAATAATGTGGGTTCAACCCTGGGCTGCCAGTGACAGTTGCCCTAACTGCCTTAGGGGCAAGTGCGATACATACATGCTCGCATATAGCATCGCTTGACTGACCCATGCTTGGGGCCAGTGAGTCAAGTCTGCAATCATGAGTTGCATAAACCACAGATCATGTAGAATCTCCATGGATCCAATCTGTGTACTGTAAAAGCAGAAATTTTCGGTGGTGTAATATTTTCGGAATTCTCCAAAATCGGCGATTCGGTGGAGGGAAATTTTCGGTAATACCCGCTTTCCAGGTAAGGGTGCTAGTACCACTAAGTAGTACCGAAAAAGTTCGGTGCATTTTTTCGGTAAAAATTGTCGGCACCGAAGTTACCGAAAATAAAACACCACTGAAAATTTCCGCTTTTACAGTACATCATTTTGGGTATCATGATCTCGTGTTGTTTCCTTGGGTGCTACGACTCCCTGACATCCATGGAACGGTATGAATTGGGCGATTTCAGCCAATCAGTAGACGTTCTGAGAGGGGTATATTCAACGATACACCCCGCTCAGTTCACAAGGGTCGCGCCAAGAGTGAATATTGGAAGGAGTCTTGGGAAAGTGCCCTGGGAGAAATGGATTGCACCATTCTATACATGTACTGCATTCCCCATAATTTCCTCGTGCTATGTCCTCAGGAAAATATTTAACGTATACCCTTCATATACTCATAGAATAATCCAAACGTATCTGCAGTCAACCACGGGTATAACAACCCACGGATAGTGACACTATCTTCAGACCTAGTAACAATATAGCCGTATATTTTCAACCCCGTGAATGACGACAACTCCCAAATACCAACACTTTTCTCATGCCCGATCAAGGGTCGTTCGTTACTGGCAAAGTTAGCTGGATATCATGTCATGTAGTCATTATTACTTCAGGCAGGGACAATGAAATACCCCCCCCCCCCCCCTTTCCTGCAGAGGGAACAGTGCTGTGTCCAGGTCCGCATGCAGCATGGAGGTGCTAGTAAGTCACTGGCATTATTTTCTCTTGTGGATCGATGTACAGTGCGTGACAATGCTTCCATAACGTTAGTGGTGGTGATGGTGGCGGGAGCATACTGCACTGCAGGGCATTACAGCACTGGCATACTATTATTTTCTCTTGCAGACGTGCCGTGCACGACAATGCTTCTATAGTGGTGGTCACGGTGATGGTAGTGGTGGCGGTGTGGTGGTGGTCACAGTGGTGGTGTGGTGGTGGTGGTGGTGGTGGTGGTCACAGTGGTGGTGTGGTGGTGGTCACAGTGGTGGTGGTGGAGGTGGTGGTGGCGGTGGTGGTGGTGGCGGTGGCGGTGGTGGTGGTGGTGCTGCTGCTGGTAGTGGTGGCGGCGGTGGTAGTTGCGGTGGTGGGAGCATTCTGCACTGCAGGGCATTAAAACAAGCTCGATTGTGCATGCATGGTGGCGGTGGGAAAGAGGAGCCAAGGAAAGTGTGTACATATTTTTGTTGAAAGCACGAGAATTCAAAGAAAGCTGGCTGCTGCCTCTATTTCCATGATCGGCCAGTGCCTGCAGCACGAACAGTACATTGTATTACATGTATGTGCATAGACAGACAAATAAACACTAACCTGAGCATGGGTACCGCTTGTATTCGTGGTCAGGAAAGTGAAAGTACGAACGAAGGAGAAGAAGATTGTTGACCATGGCGAACAACTGCATATCCAGAGGGCACACGGCTTGCCAGAATGGGTCGGCTACATCTTCGCTAATTTTCTATCCTAACAACATTCAGCTTCGAGGTCAAGGACGACGGCATTTTTGGAAAGAAATTTCGAATTTTGGAGAAGAAGCTTGCTTTCGGAAAAATGTTCCTTTCACGCAAGGCAGCATGCCAGGTCAGGCGCGTGTGAACCAGGTGAACTGTGTCGGCAGATCCACGTTTACGTTCCAGGCCGACAGTTTTTTGACCAAGCCGTGAATCGCCCTCGCTCTGACTCCCCCGGCTACGAAGGAGTAATTTTACAACTCTTCAGGCCAGCTACAGGTCTCTGATGCAGAGCTGCAAGTGACGGATATCGGTCATTTGCAGCCACTACTAAGAGCCTCCTGGTCGTTGCAATCTGATACATAATATACCTCCAAACTAGGGAGGTGACACGGCACAGAAATTCGTGTCACAGGGGTTGACTGAGCACCCGTGACCCCTCGTTGTTATTTTTGGAATAGTTCAGTCCAGTCCAGTCCGAAAGGTCATACTCGGATCGACTCGCCTTCTGTACTTCACCTCCAAGCGTGCCGCATGGGTGTCTAGTTTTTGAAATTATTGAGGCAGCACATTTCGTTTACAGCCCATCACTCGCCAGTATTCTTTGAAAGACTACCAGCAATTTGTTTACCTCCTGCCATGTCCGAACTAATTGATAGCAGTGATGGCAACAGCAGCAGTTATGAGACGGCGTGTAGTGTTACGGTAACTGTTCAGAACTGTTCTGAGTCGTATCCTAGGTTAATCCGAATACTAAAAATTGACCCAAATTGCACATAGCACGAAGCTGGTTTTTGAAAATTGTAAGTCGTGTATCTGCCCCATTTCTTCTTTATGACATGCACAATACACCAGTCTTCCTAAACAACACATTTCTAGCAGGGGTTAAGTACCATATAAGAGAAGTACAGCCAGTGATATTGTCATGTTGAAATACTACAATTTTGACACAAATTACACATAACACGAAGCCAGGTTTTGAAAAATGTAAGTCGTGTATCTGCCCCATTTCTTCTTTATGACTTGCACAATGGTCCAGTCTGCCTAAATAACACATTTATAGCAGGGGTTATGTACCATATTAGAGAAGTACAGCCAATGATATTGTCATGTCTAAATACTACAATTTTGACACAAATTAGACATAACACGAAGCTGGTTTTTGAAAATTGTAAGTCGTGTATCTGCCCCATTTCTTCTTTATGACTTGCACAATACACCAGTCTTCCTAAACAACACATTTCTAGCAGGGGTTAAGTACCATATAAGAGAAGTACAGCCAGTGATATTGTCATGTTGAAATACTACAATTTTGACACAAATTATACATAACACGAAGCCAGGTTTTGAAAATTGTAAGTCGTGTATCTGCCCCATTTCTTCTTTATGACTTGCACAATACACCAGTCTTTCTAAATAACACATTTATAGCAGGGGTTAAGTACCATACAAGAGAGCTACATTGTACATCAAGTCATACTGTCATAAACAGCCAGCATTTTTCCTGCAGCAGTCACACCACCATCGTCATTATTTCCAGGGAAATCCTCTTACATTGTCAGCTCCTGATCCTATGTCGTTAGATACAATGTAGGGGGCTGTAGGACCGGCTCGTCAAAAATAGAGAACCTGAACAAGCGTGCTCGGGACGTCTCAGCAATCGTAGTATGCCTGAGCACTCCAGTAAAACTTGATCAATGGCAAAATCGTTCCCCACAGAAAAATCATACTTTGCGGGTCTTGCGTTGCACGCTTGGAGGTGAAGTACAGAAGGCGAGTCGATCCGAGTATGACCTTTCGGACTGGACTGGACTTAACTATTCCAAAAATAACAACGAGGGGTCACGGGTGCGAGTCAACCCCTGTGACACGGATTTCTGTGCCGTGTCACCTCCCTAGTTTGAGTACGACTCCCTGTACGGTACAATGTGCGTACGCATTTTTGGCCAAAAGTCATGTCCGCACGTGGCAGCCATTTGTGTGACGTAATAGGTCACGTGACATATATGACGTCATGCTTTCCCCCGAAAATCGATTACAGACCGCATTGCAAGTCATTGAAAGAATCACCAGGCCAGAATAACCAATCTCACTCAACATTCACCCATTTTTGGGTGCCGGACATCACTTTTGGCCACCACTGTAGCTGGCGATGCTGATGCGCCCAAGACGCCTGCGAAGCGATGCCGAGATAAGAAACCTCTTTGAATAAATCACGCGCTAGCGCTCTTCTACAAGAAAATTCATCCGAAAAATATTTTCGGCAAAGTGAGCTTTTTCCGAACAAACATGCCGAATCTTCGTGTGCATTTTCGACCTCGCTCCCGAGTGCCGAATCTTTTTGCCGAATTTCGGAATGCAAAACCTCACTATTAGTGAGTACTATACTGCAGCCTATGCAGGTGCGGCAGTCCTGCCAGTAGGCAAAGGAAAATCCGTGACTGCCAAAAACGTAATTATTTTCGGAGCGGTCGAGGCCTTGACTTGGGTCTTTGAGAAGTAAGTAAGTAAATATTATTAGTTAGTTAGTTGAGTGATTGATCCAAATCATCCTTCGCCTACCGACACACCAGGCCCAGGATCCACTGTACTTCGAGTTCTACTTCAGGACCACTGGTTGCGCAGTTGAAAAGCAGAGAGTATTTTAGTAGTTATGTGCTGGTAGCGCGGAGGCGGATCGGGCACCACAGTCCGCTAGCACTGGCCATACCGCTAAAGAGCCATGGCGTGCAAAGAAGACGCCAGCGATCGTGTCGCAGCTTCTACTGGTGACAGCGAGGAACGCAGTGCGAGTGAGTCAGTCACGTCAGGCCCAGGATTTACTGCTCCGTACGCCGAATTGCAGGAAAACAGGATTCCCAAGGCAGTATGCAGACTTCGAGGTTTGTTGGTTGAGCAGTATGTCAGCGCTACCGTTGACGTGGGAGAAGGAATGGTGGACGAAGGACTAAGCGAGCCGAGTGTTTCAGATGTACAAGTTCAACTGATCATTTTGTCTAGGCCAGAGCTTCTTCTGCAGGAGTTCAGAAATGTCAGCTTCGATTCAGAGGACGTGTTGCGTGTGGAACACGTTTTCACAAAAGCAGCCGATAGTATGAAGAACACCTCGCTGGAAAGTCTTTTCGATCTGAGTGATGAACAGAAGCTGGAGTTCACGAGTGGTGGTCGGACTTACAGCATCTTAGCAGTCGCCAGTGCTGGGTGCGGTAAGACCTTCATTTTCACGAAAGTGGGTCCGTTGAAATGGGCTCGGAATGAGACCTGGAATGAGTTTGACCTAGTTGTAGCAAGGCAGCTACGCAACAAAGAAGTTCGGGAAGCGATAAGCATCTGTGATCTGCTGGGCGTGGAAGAGCTGGGAGAGTTTACGAGTGACGAGCGCAGGAGTATCGATGATTTTGTGTGCCAACAAGCGCATCGAGTTTGTCTTGTATTTGATGGTCTCGATGAGATACGCCTGAGTGACTGCAGTGGTTTTGTTCGCGACATCATGAACGGCTCATCAGTGAAAGGACTCCGTCTGGTTGTGACATCACGGCCATCCACAGAGCTACTGAGGCTATGTGACAGGAAACATTTCGATCGTCGTGTCGAAGTTATCGGTTTCCGGACGGAGGATATTGATGTCTACATCAGGAAGGTGCTGAGATCAGCAGAAGAAGCATCTGCCTTGATAACAGCCGTGCACGATGACCAGAACCTTGCCAGCATGATGGCCACGCCATTCTTGGCCATGCAGACTTGCAAGATGTTCCACTGTCGCAATCGCACGCTACCCCGTTGCATTTCAGATATCTTCGAGATGATGATCGTCCAAGTAGCAGAACGGCACATGGATGAGTCCTACAAGAAATGGAGTGAGATTCCTGCTGATGTACAAGCACTGATCCTTGAACTCGGAAAATTGGCATTCACCATGCTTTGCAGGAAGCAGCTGATCTTCACCAATGCCGAATTGGAGAAGTACTCCATCACCAGGGAAGCCAAATCACTAGGCCTACTCGTACTGGCTGACAGCACGATCAGAGATAAGAAGAGGCTGTGGATGTTTAGCCACCTCACATTGCAAGAGTTCCTGGCTGCTTGCTATGTGGCTGTGAAAGAGGCAACAACACTGGCACGTGTAGTTCACCTTGCAGACGTGCTACGACCACGGAGTAGCCGTTTAAGAACTTTCTGGATGCTGTTAGCAGCTCAGCTGGACCGTGAAGAAGCTAGTTACGTGATCATATATCTACTAGGATGTACCAAGACTGAAGAGAGCCAACAGCACAACTGGGAAGATCTGGAGGGTGATAGTGATGACGCCTTTGACACAATGCCTCAAACTGTCTTTCCGCTGGACATGCTTGCGACAATCAGTAGTGGACTAAATCGCAATGAAAAATGCCGTCTTGCTGAGGAGCTGCTATTCAAGTATGTCAAAGGAGGAAGAAGCGTTGAGCGATATGTGAAAAGCCGCTGCAAGAATGGCCGATCTGCAAGCGGAGAAGAATTCCTGAGAACACTGCTACTCATCTGGCTGGAACGTTGTCCAGATGCAACACTTTGGACATTGGCCATTACTCTCTGTGGAATGGGCAAAGATAGCCTCGCAGAGTATATCGATGCACCCACAGCTGATGGACCTGCACTCCGGTAAGTCCTATTTCCATTGGGAAATCAAAGCAGCCTTGCTAGCAAAATCAGCCAGGTTAATCTTGATCTATGTTGGATACTAGAATAGAGAAGTTTCTTTTCATGGCTGAATGACCATGCAATGCATGTGTGTGTGTGTGTGTGTGTGTGTGTGTGTGTGTGTGTGTGTGTGTGTTTGTGTGTGTGTGTCCTATAATTATGGTGTGCAGCGATTTCCAATCGAGAGGTTGCGAGTTCAATTCCCAGTCACACACGTCTTTCTTCTCTTTCTCAGTCTCTTCCTAATTTTTATTTCATTCTCCTTGTGGTTACCAACACCCAGTGCATGCCAGAGTATGTGGTGTGATGTGTGAGCGGGAAAAAAATGAAAAAGACCAAAAAGTAGGGATTCACTGGCCAGAAAAAGCCGCTTCATACCTGTGTGGTGTAGACCAGGCTGAATAGTGGCGGTCAATTCAACAGCATTGCAAGCTGTTGAATGATGCAACAATGATCCCAGCACAAGTTGCTTTGGCTTCTGCTGTAGCATCGTTATTATCGTGATGTGTGTGTGTGTGTATGTGTGTGTGTGTGTGTGTGTGTGTGTGTGTGTGTGTGTGTGTGTGTGTCTACGGTGTGTCCTGGGAGTCTCGCCCTGGGATCAGGAGTTGAATCATGTCCGGAATTGTGACCTCCGTAAGCGTTGGGGGGATGAGGATCTGGTGTCGGACACTATGCGCCGTCGCCGCCTCCAGTGGTTGGGCCATGTAGCTCGGATGCCTGACAACCGTCTCCCTAAACAGTTGCTGTTTGGATGGCTTGACGCTCCCCGACCAGCTCAGGGACCTCGTCTTCGGTGGAAGGACAGAATACAGTCAGACATGAAACTGTGCGAAATTGATGAATGGTTTATTCTGGCCCAGGATGGTCAGCAATGAAGAGATGCGTACCGCACTCGTGTGCAGCGTCCTGCCCCGGTACCGCTCTCTTGCTTGGTATGTAAACGGACATTCAAGAGTAAATCTGGACTCGGAGGACACAAATGTTCTGCTTATCGCCAGCTGCCTGTAGCGGAACAGCCGGACGCACGTCAATGCCATACCTGCCTTCGGTAGTTCCGAAGTGCCAGTGGACTTGCTGTGCACAAGTGCACGACACCCACCCTGGCATCACCGCCCACACCCCAGCGCATACCAATCACCAGCCATCCGTGTTGCAACCAGCACTGCGCTACCTGTGATCGCTGTTTTAAATCTGCTCCTGGCTTTCGGCGACACAATTGCAATCGTGGACGACGTCGTGGCGGAGCGGCTTCCTAGTGGAAGTGCTGACTTCTCTCGAACTCTCTCTTCTACTCTTCCCTGTCTCGGGGGTGGTATGGCCAAGCATTTGGCAGCTGTACACCAGGGCAGGTGTGTGTGTGTGTATGTGTGTGTGTGTGTGTGTGTGTGTGTGTGTGTGTGTGTGTGTGTGTGTGTGTGTGTGTGTGTGTGTGTGTGTGTGTGTATGGTGCAGTGGTATGTGCAGCGATTTCCAATCGAGAGGTTGCGGGTTCGATTCCAGACGATTATGGTCACACACGTCTTTCTTCTCTTTCTTGGACTCCTAACTTTTCTTTGAATCTCCTGGGTGGTTACCAACAACCAGTGCATGCCGGAGTATGTGGTGTGCAGAATGTGCGGGAAAAAAATGAAAATGACCAAAATAGGGATTCACTGGCCAGAAAAAGCCACTTCATAGCTGTGTGGTGTAGACCAGTCTCGATAATGTCGGTCAATTCTTCAGACGTGCAAGCTGTTGAATGGTGCAATCCCAGCACAAGTTGCTATGGCTTCTGCTGTAGCATCGCTATTATCGCCTCCGGCGATGGGCGTCAAATGGCGTGTGTGTGGGTGCGTTTGTGTGAGTGGGTGCGTTTGTGTGTGTGTGTGTGTGTGTGTGTGTGTGTGTGTGTGTGTGCGTGTGTGTGTGTATGTGTGTGTGGTCAATTCTTCAGATGTGCAAGCTGTTGAATGGTGCAATCCCAGCACAAGCTGCTATGGCTTCTGCTGTAGCATCGCTATCATCGCCTCCGGCGATGGGCGTCAAATGGTCAATGGTGTGTGTGTGTGTGTCCGTCGCTGGATGTCAGAATGCGGCAAAGGCGTTTGGCTGCCTCCTACCAGTGTTCCGGGATACCAGCTTGACGGTGGCAACAAAGCGTCATTTGTACACAGCCTGTGTTCTGTCGGTTTTACTCTACGGTGCTGAGTCATGGGCTCCGCTTCGGCACGACTTGGATCTGCTGGACAACTTTCACCACCGGTGCATTCGCTCCATCTTATGTGTATCTCGGCGTCAGCAATGGGAGGAGAAAATCTCATCGGCAACGCTCCGTGCGCGCTGGGGTGACACTACACCGGTGTCAGACCTTGTTCGGCGTCGGCCGTTGGAATGGCTCGGGCACGTCGCGCGCATGCCTGCAGACCGTGCTCCCGTCCAGATTTTGTTTGGAAGGTTGAGTGGTCGTCGCCCTCCTTGTGGTCCCCGGCGGCGCTGGAAAGACGTTGTCCAGAGAGACATGAAGGCAGCTGGCGTGGATTCCTGGTTTCAGAATGCCCCAGACCGGCAGAACTGGAGGATGTTCCTTGCTGAGCCACCACCGCACACAGATGATTCGCCACCTTTGCGCTGCTTGCTGTGTGCCAGAGACTTCCGCCGCCGTAACGACATGGCCCGACACAAGTGCATTGCACAGCGGAAGTTGCCTGTGTCACAACAGAAGGGTGCCAGGCAATGTATGAAGTGCATGCGGTGGTTGAGGAGCGCTGGAGAACTGGCTGTGCATCGCTGTCCTGTGTCCACGGATGTCCCCACTATATCTATTCGCCATGAATCTGACTCTTTTCGATGTGATGTTTGTCTCCGCTCTTTCCGCTCTCGTTCTGGTTTGAGCCGTCATCACTGTGACCGTGCGAAACGGATGTCACGTGCAGCCAGGAACAACTGCCGTCATGAATGCGAGCATTGCGAAAGACGGTTCTCAAGGCCACAGGACTTGCAACGCCATGCCAACTATTGTTGACTTTGCGATTTCTCTCTCTTCTCTTCTCTCTTCTTGTCGTTGTCTCCCGTTTCTGGGAGCGGCGTGGCCCGATAGGGAAGCTGTACATAGTAGTAGTAGTAGTGTGTGTGTGTGTGTGTGTGTGTGTGTGTGTGTGTGTGTGTGTGTGTGTGTGTGTGTGTGTGTGTGTGTGTGTGTGTGTGTGTGTGTGCGGGTGTGTGTGTGTGTGCGTCTGTGTGCTTGTCCCACATCGTGCAATGGTATATGCAGTCGATTTCAAATCAAGAGGTTGTGGGTTCAATTCCCGACGATTATGGTCCTGGTGGAAAAAGGAGGGCAAAATGTTACGTGTTATGACTAACTGTCCACCAACGTAACCAGATCATATACAGTCAGCGAGTGCTTAATTGGCTCACCATCCAAGTTAAACTTTGCACACCCGATGAGCCGTCATGACCTATATGGCGAAACGAACGTCGTGTGGAACTACTTGTTATTGTACATAACTAGTCCATCATACATGATAGTGGAGTTCAGTAGGATGTTGGCGTTTCGGTTTGTCACAATTCGTCTTCGCTTAGCTTCCCCTTCTATGTTTATTTCATAAACTTGAGCCTCCCAAGTTGGGTGGTCTGTTGCTTTGCGTCGTCGAGTTTTAGTAAGGCCGGTCTGTCCAATAGTCTTACTAGTTTCGTCATCATCCAGTAACTTTCGGCATTCTTTGTTGCCGTGATGCGTAGCTCATGCTCTTCTTTGTTGCGCTTTCCTTCCCCTCTTGGACCTTTCCGAACCTGAGGCTTCCAAGTTGGAAGGTTGTTGGTTTGCGCCTTGGAGAAGTGTTGGAGCTAGTTGTCAGGTCGCCGAATGTCTCAGTACTCCTTGTCAGTTTTGTGCCATTTTGTCGCACTCGCTGACTGTTTAAGATCTGGTTACGTTGGTGGACAGTTAGTCATAACTCGTAACATTTTGTCCTCCTTTTTCACCATAATTTAATTGGCTCACCATCCGAGTTAGATTATGGTCATCCATTTCTTTCTTCTCTTTCTCGTTCTCCTCCCGGCTCTTCTTTTGTTTTCTTGGGTGACCACACACCGCCAGTTCCTGCCGGAGTATGTGGTTTAATGTGCGTAGAAAACATGAAACATGAAAACAGAATGGAGACCAAAACAAGGGATTCGTTGAGCAAATCTTGACTTCGAAGCTATGTAGTATAGACCAGGCTGAATAGTGATGGTGAGTTTTCAGCCATATGAAAGCTGTTGAATAGTGCAATCCCAGCACAAGTTGCTATGGCTTTGGTTGTACCATTCATTGCGTCGGGCGATTGGCGTCTCTTAAGGCGTGTGTGTGTGTGTGTGCGCGCGCGCGTTCGCCAGTACGTTCAGTACTGGTTTTTCATTCCGTTCTAATTCACGGTTCTTGGTATTTGTCCCACAGACCAACTTCAGATGAGCCTATGGATGAGCAGACAAGTCCCACGATTGACAAAGGTAAATGCGACCTTCACTTCTAGGCAAAACCACTAGGACCCATGATGGATTCCTGGGCCAGCATACACTGACACTTCATGATTTTGTATTTGCTGAGGATGGTTTACACACATGCACACAGTACTTGTGCAATTATACCTGCCATCACCAGACACCATCACAATTTCACGATATCTACAACTATGTGCGGGAGACACCAAAAACTTAGGGTGCCAGTTTCCAATGAATGGACTGTAAACACGCACACACACACACACACACACACACACACACACACACACACACACACACACACACACACACACACACACACACACACACACACACACACACACACACACACACACACACACACACACACACACACACACACACACACACACACACACACACACACACGCATACACACACACACGTGCGCGCGCGCACACACACACACACACGCAAACACACACACACGCATACACCACTAATGGCACCAGGCGCGTGCTCGGCGATGGGCACGGGGGGCACGTGCACCCCCCAAAAATTTTCAATCTGGGTAATTGCAATTGTAATGTATGCAAATATGCTCTAAAATTCAAGAAAGGTTGCAAACAAATTGCAGAAAATTGCCGGGGGGGGGGGGGCTCCCCTCGGCTCCCGTGCACCCCCCCCCCCCCCTGGTTGGGGGGCCGAGCACGCCCCTGGGCACCATTGAGCGAATCGTTTTATTCCAATCCAAACTAGCAACAGCAACCATCCAAAAGAAGGCATGAAGCAACAGCAAATGAAGGCATAATTATATGCAAGAAACACCCAATTTCCTAAAAAGAAGAAGAAAATAAAGAGAAAAAGAGTGAATGAAGTCTCACACACTGAAAAGCATAGAATAGAAACCACTAAAAAGCGATCAAATAGACCCCACTCAAACATGGATAAAACACAGTCAGCACGTTTCCGCAGCAAATCAAAGCAAAACTTTCAACAAACAACAAAACAACAAAAAGAATGGATTATTATTATTATTTGAACAAACGGCGAGGAGACAACAATTTGATAACCGCAATCAGTAATACAAGCTGGATCGACATTTGTGTACACTTTATTCATGTAATGTAAAACTGTGGAGACAATGTGCAATAGAACGATGAAAATGTGAAGAAATGGTGTAGAGAAAATGAGGATTCAAACAAGTTTTCGTACAACACTCATCAGGAATCTTCGTTGTACTAAAGGACAATGAAAACAAAATTGAACTATTATAGAAAATCTAAGTTAGAGAAATAACACTAAGAACACCAGCAGTGAAATTTACAAGTGTGAATTTTATCAATGAAGGCGAGAGCAATAACGAATGCGTGTACTAACACTAAACTTGCAACTGAAAAATGAACAAAGAAGAGAAAGGGACAAAGTGATAACAAATAACAGCAGTACATTACACCTAGAAAATTAACGGCCAAACTTGGCCGCACAAAACATGACACTTTACTTGAACAATTTCAACCCAATTATACTATCCTTTTGTACACACAAATTAGGCTTGTACAGACGCTGACAGATGGCTTCCAAAACTTTTAACTGTAGTCCATAACCATGACGACCACGGCACAATACAGTGAAAGAAGAGTCGGAATACGAATTGCAACAATCAGGACTAGCCGTACACTGAAGACTTGCTACCACGAAACCTACGCACAACACTAACATTCTCACCGGCACTCTCACGATCACTACAATCGTTGCTCTCCGACTCATTGCTCCCTTCACCGTCCGTCCCATCATCCGCTTCCTCTCCGCTCTCTCTGTTATCCCGCCTGACTTGGTCCATTGAACGGGACTCGGCCGTCACCCTGCTGTCACGTCCCACCTTGCGCCCTTGTCCGTTGAGTGCGTAGTTTCTGTTGTAGTTGGCTGTTGATTGTCTTGGTCTTTCAATAGTGGGCTTGGATGGTGGATTAGTTGTGGTTGCTGTATATTGCATTGTTGGTGATGGTGTGGGAGCTGCTGATATGCAAGGTGGGTCTTTTTGAGTTGGCAATTGTAGTGTAATTGCCATTGTCGATGTTGCTCACGGTCTGTCACTGGCAAGCTCCACCGCTGCAAGAGCCGACGGCGGAGGATCAGGAGGAGGCAGTGGGACCGGGACCGCAAGCGGCACCACCCCAGCCAAAGCCGCCGGGGGCACTGACGAAGGAACCACCGACGGCAGGAGCAAAGGCGGCGACACAAGCCGGCCCGATGAGCCACCACGCCCACCCTCCTCCACCACCGCCACCAGCGACGGCGGAGCAAGCACAGTCTGTGAACCAGGATCCACAAGTTGTGTAGGTAACGGTTGTTTTCTGGGTCGCCCTCGCTTCGGTCTTTGTTGTTGTGCGCAAGGTGGAAGTATGTGACGTGGTGTGTGTTGTTTGATGCGTGCATCTTTACGACAGTGCGTGCGTTTACGGTGCGGAAGGATGTCCTACCAGCCCTTCACCTTAGTCATCTTATTTACAACTTTGAATGCCGACAATGCGCTAGTCGGTATGTTGGTTGAACTGTTCAGCACCTGAACGCACGCATCAAACAACACACACCACGTCACATACTTCCACCTTGCGCACAACAACAAAGACCGAAGCGAGGGCGACCTAGAAAACAACCGTTACCTACACAACTTGCAGATCCTGGCTCACAGACTGTGCTTGCTCCGCCGTCGCTGGTGGCGGTGGTGGAGGAGGGTGGGCGTGGTGGCTCATCGGGCCGGCTTGTGTCGCCGCCTTTGCTCCTGCCGTCGGTGGTTCCTTCGTCAGTGCCCCCGGCGGCTTTGGCTGCGGTGGTGCCGCTTGCGGTCCCGGTCCCACTGCCTCCTCCTGATCCTCCGCCGTCGGCTCTTGCGGCGGTGGAGCTTGCCAGTGACAAACCTCTAGCAACATCGACAATGGCAATACCACTACAATCGCCAACTCAAAAAGACCCACCTTGCGTATCAGCAGCTCCCACACCATCACCAACAATGCAATATACAGCAACCACAACTAATCCACCATCCAAGCCCACTATTGAAAGACCAAGACGATCAACAGCCAACTACAACAGAAGCTACGCACTCAACGGACAAGGGCGCAAGGAGGGACGTGACAGCAGGGTGACGGCCGAGTCCCGTTCAATGGACCAAGTCAGGCGGGATAACAGAGAGAGAGCGGAGAGGAAGCGGATGATGGGACGGACGGTGAAGGGAGCAATGAGTCGGAGAGCAACGATTGTAGTGATCGTGAGAGTGCCGGTGAGAATGTTAGTGTTGTGCGTAGGTTTCGTGGTAGCAAGTCTTCAGTGTACAATCATCTGTTGGCTAGTCCTGATTGTTGCAATTCGTATTCCGACTCTTCTTTCACTGTATTGTGCCGTGATTGTCATGGTTATGGACTACAGTTAAAAGTTTTGGAAGCCATCTGTCAGCGTCTGTACAAGCCTAATTTGTGTGTACAGAAGGATAGTATAATTGGGTTGAAATTGTTCAAGTAAAGTGTCATGTTTTGTGCGGCCAAGCTTGGCCGTTAATTTTCTAGGTGAAATGTACTGCTGTTATTTGTTATTATTATTGTTATTATTTATTACGAAGTAGTGGTTGCGACTTCGGCGATAATTTGTAAAAAAAGGGTTTGCTCCCCACACCGGAGCTCGCGCTATTCCGCCGACTTTACTTGACACTTGACTGACTCACGACTGCCATCCAGAGCACACGAGAAGTCCATCGAACCTTCGACTCGGCAAACCTGCAAGAAAGCACCACTCCCTGCTCAATACACAGTGTTTCGGGGAATTCACCCCTCATCAGTTGAGCTTGAGTAGGCTGAGGAAGATTTTGCCTGAAGAGCACCACTTATATAGTGCTCTCCAGGCACAAACATCACCAGGGATACAAACTTACAGAGACGCTCCGTTTCCAGCGCGACAAACACCTCGTGAACACCAGATAGCAGCGTGAGTCAGTGACCATAAGTTTACAAGTTATCCGTTTTGTCCAACACTAACGATTACAAGCAGGATACTGTTGAGTTAATATGTCCAACAATTAGCACAACACTGACTGAATGCGCAAACCAACAGCCTTCCAACTTGGAAGGTTCTAAGTTATGAAAGCGATCAAATAGACCCACATTCCAGACGTGATGCAGCTAAGCATCAGGGCGTTGATTGTCAGTAACACATCAGTCAGTTTTGTGCTAATTTTTGCACATTTTGACTCAACAGTATCCTGCATATAATCGTTAGTGTTGGCCAAAACGGATAACTTGTAAACTTATGGTTCTCTCCATCTGAGTTTAATAAATAAAGCCAGTCCACGTGAAACTTGAAGAACATTGATGGTCACAGTCAGGTCAAAAGATTAGCACGGCACTCCATGACGAAGCTATGAGCACCGCCACCAGCATGCCTCCTGACATAGGACGCACGGGCACCACAAAGGCAGGTAATTTGCCACTGCACAAAGCACAAACTGATCCTCGAGCGCAATTGCCGCACAACCAGGGAATACGACAGGTCACAGTGACGGTCGTGAATTCGTGCAGCCAAAGTACGCAGGAAAATGGTGGCCTCTACACATGCCATTCATGGAAAACACCAGGGGCGTGAACGATCCGCGATCAACCTTGTTGATACGTTCGGCTTGTTGGCGCTTCTTCTGACGCTCGTGATCAGCCAACTTACTCATTTCTTGTGATCGTGACAGCAAAGATGGCCTTGGGTGAGTCACCTGAACATCAAAAAAGGCGTTTTGCTGCCACGACCAGAAGCCACAAGCCCGGACATCCACACGAGTGCCATTGGCAGTGTTGCCTGACACAGCATCGCCCTGCAATGGAGCAAGTGGGGGCTCAGTCTCCACGTCACACACCACCTCCGTCAGCGTGTCGGCAAAGAGGTCCCATGACTAGTTATGGCGCTGAGCAGGATACCCTCCGCTGGGGCACGTGCATGCATGACAAATCATCATGTCACGGCCACAGACGCACGATGATGGCACACTACTCAGAGCTAAACCATAGCGCAGACACAACGTGTCAAGAAAGCCATTTTGTCGAGTAATATACTGCTTGGGGTTAAACCGTGGGCGGTGTACCCAGCCAGGTAGATACACCGTCATCGCCGGCAACCTCGACCAGAAGCCGCTGCTGGTCTGGCAGAGAGTGCTTGATACTGGTCAGAACAGATTGCTGTTGAGCACGACGCTCTGTGCGCACCGCTGAAGAAAGAGTCCTGCAGGATGCGCTGACTGCGCAGGCAGGACCAGGGGTTAGAGATAGCACAGACTGGACCGTCCGCTCAGTTGACACAGGGCACAGCTGATGCTCTGCCTCCACTCGCTGACCGGATATGCCGACTGCCAAACCACCCAACTTCACGGGCAGAGACAACAATTTCCTCAGATCACCCTCAATAGGCAGAGTGTCACCCGTTAAAGCGGGGAGAAGACTCTGGACAATGACTGTCTCCAGGGGACCAAACAATTGAGGGTCGGCCGCAATAACTCGCTGGAGGAAGGTCCACCTTGATTGAAGGGATGTGACGAACAGGTGATATGCAGCCTGGGCTGCGTCATGGCAACCGTGGACAGGCGCTGAACGAGGCCAGCCCTATTCACCACACACTCACGAACAAAATGGTAACAATTCTTGAGTACAGATGTTACTCAGAAGCCGTGGATGAGAAACTACATCGAGAAGAACACTGATCTCCGGAAGAAGGCAAAGTATGATTTATCTAAGGACTTCTATAAACTGATGAACAATGCGGTGTTTGGGAAAACTATGGAGAACGTTCGGAGGAGAGTCAACATAAAATTGCTGAGAAGTCATGAGGAGACAAAAATCAAACAGCTTGTTGCTATTATTATAAGGCCTGGTCAGACTGCGGCAAATTTTGGTTGCTCCTCCAAGACATCGCACACCATCTGTACGAACCGAAACACCTGTCCCAGCCAAAGCCTCCTCGGCAAGGAGAGCTAGATTGGGCTTTGCCAGGAGACCGGTCTTCTTCAGGTTAGGGTAGTAACCGTACTTTGGACCGACATCCGTTGTCACCTTCTAGTACGACAGCAACGCCAGTACCTTGACTGCGGCAGCGTCATTATTGGCATACCACGCTTGTCCTGCGGAGGGGCAGACCTCCTGCAGATGGCGAATGAGGGGAATCAAGGCCAAAACGTAAAAGGCCATGGCTAGTGGGTTGCCTTGATAAGTACCCACCCTCGACTGCATCACTTCACCACCGTCCTGGAGAAGTGGGGTGTCACTTTGGTACATGTCAATGAACACACGTCCGACAGCAGGGCATATCCCGGGAGTATTGTGCAATGCCACAGCCCTGTTCACTGCGTTGAATGCATTTGAGGCATCGACAAGTAAAACGGCGTCAGTGCTCTCCTTGCCGTACTAACTGGACAATGCCTGGATTCCCACCTCCCAAGCAGAAGGAAGTCCCACACAAAGTTGGAGAGGAGCAGCGACAGCTGTCACATTACTCTCAATGACGGACATTATTGCTTTCCCGACTATGCGCCGAAACACCTCACCAATAGCGCTTGGCCTCATGCCTGGCTGCTTATCCAGAGGGATAAGACGAGCGGCCAAAAACGCCTAGAGATGTTTTGACTCGAGACCCTTCGTGCATAAGTACTTGGCGGCACGTGCTAGAGCTGAGCACAAAAAAACAATAATAATACAACCCGGCGTCTCAAGTTGCCAGCTAAAAAGAAGTGAGTGATGGTTGTGTGATACTATACGACCATGATGTCGGCCAAATGCCAGTGAGGCTCTGGAATCCATCTTGTCTTGCAGAGATGCAGGCGCCTGACGTACATGTGTAGTGGTAGCCGAGTGGAGGCGCGGTGCAATCGATACGAGTTAGCTCTGAATTCAACTTTCTCTCAGGTACACACCTGGTATATATTATAAGTAAAAGAAGAAGCGGCATATAAATAGAACTTTCTCTCCGGTGCACACCTGGAGGTTGAATAGCTCTTCTGCTCGGCTTTGTCGTTGTTATCAATTCTAATGAAAACAGAAATGCGCAGCAGCTTTTATGCAACAGCCCCCGTACGCTAACGTACGGGGGTTCACTAAATATACGTCAGGTAAAGTTCCGTACTAGCCAGGCAGGGATACTACACATGTATATGGTAGCCAACGCATGCACATATCTATATATGGTAGACCAACAGGACACCTGAACCCCAGAGGCCTCCCTGGGGCTACGTAGGTCCAACCCAATGAGCCTTAGAATAGATACAGTCTAATGGACTTGCATATCTATATGTAACCATTCTAACTGTTCATGTTGTGTTTGTGTGTGTGACTATGCACAGCTGAACTGGATGACATCATTTCAACATGCAATGTTAAACTTCGTCGACTGAGAATCTTCTTCTGCGGCAAGTACGGTACTGGAAAGTCCAATCTGATCCGAGTTATTCTTGGCGACGAGTTCCAGTCTAATAAAGACAGCACAGAAGGCGTGGACGTCAGGCGAACCCTTGCTACTCTGCCAGCCAATGGCAGTCGGGAAGATGTCGCACTGCCACCCGTGTTCAGTTGCATCCAAGAAAAGGAATTGTCTGCACAGCTCATTACTGCAGCTATTCAGCTTCGGCAGCAGCAGCAGCAGCACCAACTGGTCGGTGGCATTAAACCAGGGGACGAAGCAGCAATGAGCAAGTCACAAGATCCCGGAGCCTTTGGTGGATCGTCAGCTGTGGGTTTAGAAGCAGCCGCGGGTGAAGCCAGCAACTCCAGCACCACACAGGAAGACATCAATGCGCCCGTTATCAAGAGCAGCAATGACAGCAGTCATACTCATGATGTTGACTCTCACATGGACATGTCCCACAATCAGGATTCCAGTTCAACCTTGTCAGATCTTGAAGAGAGAACTAACAAGTTGCCATGGTCACCACGCATTCTCGATGGCATTGCTGACGATATCATGGAAGAACTGCAACAAATACGGACCGAAGAGGATCAAACCGAACGAACCAGTGTTGAGTTTTGGGACTGTGGTGGTCAGCTAGCAATGGCAACGCAACAGAGCATCTGCCTTGCTTCAGAGCGTGCAATGTTCGTGATCACGTTCGATGCCAGCAAAGACCTGCGTGACAAAGTCGACACTGAAGTTTTCCGCTATGACAAAGGAAAGACTGTCTCCATCGAGCCATTGTTTCCCGGAATGACTCATGAAGATTTCCTGCTGATGTGGCTATCCACTGTGTCTTTGCACCTGCAGCAGAGTCCAGCCAGCACCAACCCGACCCCGGAGGCAGCAAACACCACAAGCGTGCACACCGCACAGCAGTCAAGAACTGGAACGGATCTACGGAAGACAAAGCCAAAGGTGTTCCTCGTTGCAACCCACATAGATTTGGTCGACGATGCCGAGGAGAAAAAGAAGGAAATAAGGGCTGTTGTCAAGTGCATTTCAACGCGTTTGAATTCCGCTCACCTTCGACTGGTTGGACCATACTTTGTAAGCAACAAACAACCCGGAGATCCCGCGTCGGAGATGAGCACATTCCTCGAGGACTTGAATGAAGACATCCGCCTGCTTGAGCCTGACATGATTCCCCTCAACCAGATGAAGCTGGAGAAAGCAATTACCAGGCTTCAAGTAGTAGCTACAGCAAAAGAGCAGCAAACACCAAGGCCAAGCCAAACGTCGCCGGATCTACGCATGCATGCAACCTTTGCAGAGCTCAAGGAGCTGGCAAAGTTCATGTCAAATGGGTCTATGTCAGACGAGGAGTTCCGTGCTGCTTTGTCTTACTATCACCACATTGGTGTTGTGATTTGCAGCGACTGGCAAGATCCTACTGATAAAAGTCTTGTCTTTCTCAACGTGGAGTGGTTGCTACAGCTATTCGTGCAACTGGTTGTCCTCTCCTATGATCGGGACAACAGCGACCCTCGTCTCCTGGATTATGAAGCAGAAATCAAGGCTCTGCGGAAAAAGGGACGGATGTCAACTTCACTTCTGGCGGCAGTCTGGAAACTGGATCAATCCGTTCAACAGTCACTCATGGAAATCATGTGTCATTTTGGCCTAGCTTCTGAGATATTAGCCGCCGAGCCAACCGAGTATCTTCTTCCATTTTGCATCAGTGAGAGAGGTAGAGCGAAGACTCTTCCAGCCAATTTGCAGTACAGTCTACCTCTTCTGGTGATGAAGTTTTCATGTGCTTTCTTCCCACCGGCCGTCTTCAGTCGCATGGCAATCTACTGTGTTTCAAAACAGTCGCGCGAGGGCATCCGCGACCCTGTTGTTGAATACGCAGCTATCTCGTTCAAGTTTGGCCGTCAGCACCATGTCCGTATCTCCTGGTTTCCTATTGGACTGCTGGTGGAAGTGAAGTCATCGTCCAAATCAAAGGAGAAGGTGATTGCCGCCACCCATCAGCTGCTGGACGTGATCAATGATTCCCTTAGCAGCCTGAAAGACCAGGGCTTTGTTGGTCTTGAGTGGACGCAATGCTTCCAATGCCAGCGCTGCATATCCAATGTCGTCGATGAAGATGATGATGGCGGAGAATCTGGGCACAATAGTCGACGGTCAACGTCTGGGCGAGCCGTAACCTCATCTTGTCAGTTACGGAGGGACATCGGCTTTATCGAGCTGTCTGGATATGAACTGCTGGACTACGCTGAAATGGAAGACGACGACGCTGAGGAGTTGCATAAGTGCGGACGCTGTAAAGAGTCTACGACATTGCCTTGTGATTACATTCATTACTGGATCAGAAGCAATAGCAGCAGTTCCAGCTATGCCGCTAGCAACAACAGTACCGCCACCAGAAGCCACAGCAGCAGCAGCAGCAGCAGCAGCAACAGCAGACGCCACAGCAGCAGCAGACGCCACAGCAGCAGCAGCAGTAGCAGCAGACGCCACAGCAGCAGACGCCACAGCAGCAGACACCATAGCAGCAGCCACGGTAGCAGAAGCAGCAGAAGCAGCAAGTATAACAGCCGCGCTGCAGAGAGTGTAAGCACTGATGCGGTCGCCTGTGATTTATCAGAATTGGTACGTGTGGTTGTACGCACTTTACTTTATTAGAATGTGTACACACATCCTTCATGATATACCTTTACCATTCCGGGTGTTTCTGCATGCGATAAGCGCACAATCCAACCAATGCGTTGAAAAAAATTAAAAGTTAGGTAAAGGCATGATTGGGGCCGACATGTAACCCTATTTCAGACCGCCTCGTCTTTGCACCTGCGCTGTATGCTTGCCCACTAGGGATAGACAGACAGTGTACACATACTGCAATCTAGTGCAAAGCATCTCCATGGTGTCAGTATGACTTGGAATTAGGGAAGGACAAACGCGCAACCCTTTGCTAGAACTTAAGCCGTGCTTCTCAAATCCCCCCCCCCCCCTCACCTCACGCCCAGCCAACACGTCTCACACCTCACACCCAGCCATCTCACACCTAAGGCTAACGGATACCTCCAGTAAGACTCACGGTGTACTTTCTACCAACATCATGTTATGACTGAATTGCCATGGCAGGAGTGACTGTAGTTGTACTGATGGGATGGGTATTGACAGTGTGAATGCAGGATGAATAGTTACACACAGACCACTGGTACAGACTCCCACATCATCCGATCAATCAATGACATCATCACCCCGGATATGCTCTGTTTTGCCACACATTGCTCACAGCTAGGTTCAGAACAAAGTAGTTTACTTTTTGGCTCATTGTTTTTTCTTGTGTGTGTGTGTGTGTGTGTGTGTGTGTGTGTGAACATGTGTGTGTGTGTGTGTGCATGTGTGTGCATGTGTATGTGTGTGTGTTTGTGTGTGTGTGTGCATGTGTGTGTGTGTGTGCATGTGTGTGTGTGTGTGTGTGTGTGCGTGCGTGTGCGTGCGTGTGTGTGCATGTGTGCGTGTGTGTGTGCATGTGTGTGTGTGTGTGTGTGTGTTTGTGTGTGTGTGTGTGTGTGTGTGTGCGTGTGTGTGTGTTTGCTTTGTAGAGCCATGGTCGTGGTGGTGAAGCTAGGCCAGGAGGATCAGATGGTAAATGTAAGTACGCGTCTGCCGATTCCTCGAGTGCTCGCTCCGAAAAGCGTTTTAGAAACTTTCATCTTGATGCAGTTTGTGCTAGTAGACTCCCTCTCACATTCAGGGCGAGCAGAGGGGAAAACAACAGGGTGTTTATATGCCTCACGTTCGTCTCAAGGCCCATTATTTGTGGGGCAAAACAATAGGGAGGAGATGGTGCCGTTTTTGGAACAGCTTGACAGCAAGGAATTGTCGAGCAATAGTCTCATCAGTGTGGACCTTTCACTCAAAATATGTTTTGTGTAAACTCATAACTGACATGTTGAAGTTTGTTGTGAGACCAGAGTCGAGCCATTACTTTGTGTTAGTCTGTTTCTTTCCAACCGTTCAAATTTTCTTTTAGAATTGTGGTGTCATTGACGTGGCTGCAAAACAGGCTGGTTTGAATTCCATTCAAAGTTCAGCCTAACTTCTGAAATTGTCTAGTTTGAAGTACATACAGTACTTTCCGGAATATTACCTGCATTCTAAAATCCCTTTTAAAAACTCAATAACCTTCCCTGCAGCTTAGACTCCGCATGCTGAAGGCGAACACGAATTATTTTGTTACTCGGGAGGTATCACTATCTGTGTTGTGCCATTTATGTATGCAGTGACCATATTTGAAAAACAAAACCCATAGAAAGGTTAGGCCATGGATTGTGCTGGGTGGTATGACTCCCTGCGATTCCCAAAGCATTACGCTCTTGCCCATCAGTGCAAACTTTGCAGAAGTTTGATGTTGGATTCATTTTCTGTGAAGTAGGAAAACATTTGAAATTGCAGCACTTGAATTCAGGATTTCAACCCAAGCTCTATTATCCTACTTCACAGAAAATGAATCCAACATTGAACTTCCGCAAAGTATGCACTGATGGGCCAGAGTCTTGTGTTTTGGGACTCACCGGAACTTGAGTCGCACAACCCCGAGCACAATCCCTGGCCGGTGGCTAGGCTCAGCAAATCAATCTCAACGGCATGCGAAGAAATATTGAAACGTTTGTGTCACCCTATCTGCACACACCAGATTGGTTCAAGTCGCCTAAGTATGTCAGCGATATCCGTCCCTGGCTGTGCGACCTCCCTGCAGCAAACTTGAGAAGGACTCTTGAGAAGCATGGACTGTTGACACTGTCTCAGGTGCACACGCTGATGGAGACTGAGCGGTTACATGGGAAGGAAAGGCATAACTGTGAGATGTTGCTGGAGTCCGTGGAGTCAGCAGGAAAAGATGGCTTTGTCGACCTCTACAACGCAATCGAGAAGAGCACATCCTTGACCCAATTGTTCATACGGATTGGATTGAAGCGAATGCGTGAAGCGATGCCTGATGAGTAATGTCGGTAGGATCGAGGTCTGTGCAAGCCATCAGCACAACAGCATCATCACCCTGCGGTATTTACTGGCTGTTACCAGTTCCATGTCTACATGTGGTTGTGCGTGGGTGTATCTGTGTGCAAGTGGGTTTCATTACCTGTTTGCTAGTGTGTGTGTGTGTGTGTGTGTGTGTATGTGTGTGTGTCTGTGTGTGTATGTGTGTGTGTGTGTGTGTGTGTGTGTGTGTGTGTACGTGTGTGTGTGTGTGTGTGTGTGTGTGTGTGTGTGTGTGTGTCTGTGTGTGTGTGCGCGTGTGTACGTGAATAGGTGTATGCACCTATGCACATGTACCGATCCAGCAATTTCAGTATGTTTGGTCTGTGCTTTCATTTTGAATAATTGATCTATTTCCATTACACATGTATTAAATTTTGTATCCTTGAGTCCTTGGTGCTACATTCCCACCTCTACCCCCCCCCCCCCCCCCCTGTGATGCATGGTGTTTGCAGGGCTTTTCTCAGGCTCCTGAGTGTTGACCTCCGAATCAAACCAAGTCATTAGTGCCTCATTTCCCGCATGACAAGTGTGCATAATCTTGAGTAGATACGGCCATCCTTTGCTTTTTTAAGTTTGTTTCCCTTTGGTTTCGTTACGCTAAGACTGTAACAAATTTGGATGACCAATCTGCAGCATAAACTAAATCATTTTGTTACAGAAAGCGCCAAAACCTCCATGATTAGAAGCAGACGGTTTTGGTTCCGACTGCTAGTACATGATTACTTTTTTTACTTTTTGTTTTACATTGCCGGTCACGGCTGCCGTGCAAGAGGAGAGTGCATCCAGTTCGTGATGTTGCCTCTGTCGCCACCGCTGCTGCATTCGCTCTATCTGAAGGTCATTTTCTGAAATTCTGTTGCCGGTGTAATAGGTATTATTTATAATAGGAACGTACATCCTCACTATTCGTATTTCCCGCTCGTTCCCCTTGGCAATGAGAGACAAGAAGAGCGCATGCTCCAGTGAATCTCTAGTCTTGAGTTGTTCTTGTCCTGTTCACCTTCTCACTCTTGTCTACGTTCTTGTCGAAATACTTATTCCATATTCAATACTATAAACCCTTGTGTTCGGGAAGAGTGAGGGGACTTTGTTTAGCCGGGAGCTAACACCGGTTCGGCTTCACACTTCTCTATTTCTAGCAGGGAGTAGTACAATACCGGTATTGTACTACTCCCTGATTTCTAGTGTACATGTACTTCGAAGTAGTAGTCTTACTACAACCTACCGTTTAGTGTATGCGCTGCAGAGCTCAGCAAGCTTGCTTCATGCATCTCTACGCAGTCACACACAGGTCAGTGATCAGTGTGTTCTTGAGGCGACGCGTTCTTGAGCACTGAGCCCGAGGCCTGTGACCATGGTGACTTGGTTTCGGTGATGATTGCTCACCCAGGTTCCTATGTATATCAGACAGCAAATCTCAGTCGCATTTCAAATTATTGTTCTTGAAGAAATTTTTTTGGGAAAGAATTGCCCGCCATAAGGTTTGTATGGTTCTGCCAATTTCACTGCTTTTCGAGCAGAATCCGCCGGTGCCTATATCGGGAAGGGGAATCATCTCTACCCATTTGGAAAAATAGTCACCCACCACCTGAATGTACATGTGTTTATAACCACGAGCTGTTAGAGCAAGGGATCCCATAATGTCCATTCCCATTACTTCAATTATAGCTATCAATAAGAAAGGGTTTGCTCCCCACACCGGAGCTCGCGCTATTCCGCCGACTTTACTTGACACTTGACTGACTCACGACTGCCATCCAGAGCACACGAGAAGTCCATCGAACCTTCGACTCGGCAAACCTGCAAGAAAGCACCACTCCCTGCTCAATACACAGTGTTTCGGGGAATTCACCCCTCATCAGTTGAGCTTGAGTAGGCTGAGGAAGATTGTGCCTGAAGAGCACCACTTATATAGTGCTCTTCAGGTACAAACATCACCAGGGATACAAACTTACAGAGACGCTCCGCTTCCAGCGCGATAAACACCTCGTGAACACCAGATAGCAGCGTGAGTCAGTGTCGCTCCTGGACGGTGAGAGTATTTTTAAAACAGCTGCAGACATCTCCACGCTATAATTATGACACTTGTTCGAGTTTAGACGTGTAAATTTCCAGAATCGATGTTCTCGCTCCTATCATCAGTGGAATTCATACGGAGCTAAGGATCAACAACGAATGCAACTAAGGTTGAGTAATAGAAAGGTGCTATAATGACACATACATCATGATACAAGCGCAATAAAACTACCGCACATAGATGGTAACGCAAAATGGTAACAAATGTACATAACTAAAGGTGAGGAGGAACTGAACGAAGCGTCAACTTTTGACTATACGGAGCCTAGGTGCAACAACATGCTCTTTCTGCTTACATGAAACAGGTTTATGTACACGTATACAAACTGCCTCAATGATCCTCAACGGCTGGACATATACCAGGCACAACACTGTCCCACAGTGCAGAGAAATGAGAGTCATCGTACACACTAAGACAGTCAGGACGAGAAGACTGTAAGCATGATATAAAGATATTGAGAAGGCATGTGCTGAACACCCACTCATGCTTATGTACACACACACACATGCACACATACACACACACGTGCACATACATACGCGGCACCACGCACACACACACACACACATACACACACATACATACACACACACCTGTACATACAAGCGCGCACACACACACACACACACACATACATACATACGCGCACCATGCACACACACACACACACATGTATGTGTCCACCAATACTGTTCAGTGCTCATGGTATGGCGGCTGCGGCGGTGGCAGCATGACAGCTTTCAGCCGCAGCTGGATGTTCAAGGCTCACTCCCGAGGTACTGCCTTCCTGCAATGAAAATATCCATGCATGCACAATGCACCCGTACGCCATAGACACACACTTGATTAGATCCCGACGCAAGTTGTCTTGGTAGGTTACAGATCAGGGGAGAGGGGTGGGAGAGGTTGAGGGGCAGCACTTCTAGCAATGCACTCGATGTTTGTGTAGTCGAAACTTCCTGCGGCACCGGCGCTGGAATGGGAAGTCGCCCTTTCTGATTTTGTCCTACGTTTTGTGCGTCACATTTGTGTCTGCTCAAGCCGCTGCTGGACTTTTAAAACTGCGATGACAGGTGTTGCACTGCAGAGTGACTGAATTTGTGAGATGCCCGGTGTTGAGAGAATGTCCGTGATCGCACCGATGGGTGGCCACTCCACCAGGATTGCGGGGCCAATGTTGGAAAAGACGACATAGTCATCAGCAAGCGCCAGCTTGGCCACATACCGGTTTCTGCCACTCCTCAAAGCATTTGTGACGTTTCTCATCTGCTGGATGAGAGCAGTGCCGATCACTTACATTACACTGACCACTGGCATGTACACTTTGGTGACTTTCAAGCCGGCTGGTTGTTTTTCAGCCCCCAATTTTATAGTGCACATGTAGAGCATGACTTGTGGGCATGTGTGTGTGTGTGTGTGTGCGAGTGTGTGTTTCTGCGTGTGTTCCCGGCTACCGTAGGGTAGTAACACAAAGCAGCGGGATGTTTGCATGGTGACCTGCTCACTTACCAGATCAGCAATCAGCACCTTCAACAGCTTAGCGGCATCACCAACATTCTTCCTCTGACCACGCAAGAGCAGACAGCTGGCTCCTCGCTCACTTTCCTCGGCTGTCAGGCTGCAGTGTACCTTCAAGTCCATGAGCAATTCTTTCCACCTCATCACAACGTCGCGGGCATCCAGTCCTTTGCATTCATGCCGTTGAATGATCAGTTCGTCGCGGAGCGTCTGCTGCAGACATGCCTCCCCCGTTTCCAAGTCATTATAAGACTCGGCGACAAGCAGGAAAGATGCCGACGGTGGACAGCATTCAACAGGTGGTGCTGGTGTATCCACCACCGTCTGCAACGAAAAGAGAACGTTGCCGATGCGTTTGCGTGCAGTCGGTACGTTCTCCTCCATCAGAGCGGACAGAGCGAATTGCAAATCACCAATCGGGTCACGGGAAGACCGGGTGTAATAGTTAAAAAGGATCCTCTCCAAGCTTGTGCCGCTACGCAGACATTCCATGGCTCCTTGGCCTATGAGCTGGAACCATTCTCTAGCCGTCAGATAGTCTTGTCCTGGCTTTGGGAGAAATGGAATGGCGATGGATTTTGCCTGGACGTCTGATGCCGTCTGGAAGATGAGCTTGAGTTGCTTTGAGAAAGCGGTCTTGAACACCTGCCCTTCTCGCATATCTCCGCCCTTGATACAGTTCGGGTTGGAGTGGATGAGAACCGGGGCAGGCAGCTTTCCGCTGCTCAGAGCTGGTGCAGTTGTAAATACGTCGCCATTGCTCTCAACCCAAGCTTGTGAATCATCGGCAATGCCAGTACCGCCGTGGTTGATAACGTCACGTGCCATGCCGTCAGCAAGAAGCAGTGTTGAGTTGGAGAAGAGCACCATTGCATCTACATCAGCCATTGCAAATTGGTCGTTGTACACGGGCTTGTTGAGCTGCAAAGTCAGGGTCTGTTCATGTCTCTCCCCTCTGGTGAACTGATGCAACTTTGCAAAGCAGAGTGGAACTTGGTCTGCAATTGCTCTGGTGCGGGGCTTCACAATTCGAGCAATTTCTTTGTCTTGCATCAGCTTTGTTTTAGCAAGTCTCATAACGGTGTTGAGCTCGGGCGGCTTAATGACTAGTCTCTTGTAGACGCGATGCTGCAGTATATCGTGGGCCAGTCGTTCCAGTGCTGCCTTGCCATTCGCTGCTTCTTCCTCTGTGTCAGCTTCGACCACAGCCAGCTGGTAAGCAAAGGAGTTGTTCTGAAACTGTCCACGGCGCTCCCGGAAGCGGCAGTTTGAACTCTCCAGCAATGCCTCTGCCTCGGCCCGGTGCGTTGTGAGTAAGAAGTTGCATACGTCGCGCCCTGGCATACTCACCATCTTACTATGGTATCGGCGGCGGCGATCACGGTCGTCCCTGGCGACGGCAGGTATAGGAGAAAACCTGATGTTGTCCATGTCACATCTACCAGCCAACGAACACCAACACCAGAAAAAGAACACTCCCGAAAATGAAGATAAAGGCGGACTACACCATGGCCATAATTTATTTGGCTCAGTGGTTGGAACATTGGTGCTGGTATATAACCAGGGTCCTTGGTTTGAATCCTGGCAGTGGAACTTGTCAATTTGTATATTCTACTTTTCGCTACTTTTCATTTCCTCGCTTGAAGCTGAGGAATATCACCTGGCATTCGAAATCTTATCATTGGAAATGGGTACTCTAACTTCAGAAATTTAAGGTACTCAATATTTTCGGTATGAGGGCAAAAGGCCAGGTTAGGTGAACAGAAATTTTAGGCAAAGAGGAGCAATTCCCTATTGGATTATGTGTGTTAGTGTTTATTCGGTGTATTGAAATTTTAGATATGAAACATATGCACCGAAAGTCCCGAAAATAAAAGTACACCGAAAAATTAGTGAAATTACAGTCAGTAGTTGATGTAGCCACATGGCAGTGTCAGTGTACTAGCACACATGCCTCACCTCTTGCAAACACCGTTAGCAGAACACACAGATACAGACACACACCGTACACACACACACACACACATACACACATACACACACACACACACACACACACACACACACACACACACACACACACACACACAAGAAATTCCTTTTGTAACTAAAGCCGTTTAGGAAAGTTCCCTTTAATATGGACAAGCAGTGACTTTTCCTTCACTCACCCTATGGTCCACTTGTCTTGCGATTGTATCTGGAAGATTAGTCTCATGTGAGTGCGGCGGGTAGCCTTCGTCCGGACCGTGACCGGTGCTGTTAGAATCTCCCGATCCCCATCCACCTGTAGGTAGTTTGTGAGGCATACATCTTGCACGGCACATAGCGCGGACAGCACCTTCTCCTCCTCCTTCACGGACACAACAGAAAAGTAGTGGTAGTCCTTTAGGTTTTTAGCTAGCTTCTTTAAGTAGTCTACACTGTACTTGTGGAGAATGTAGACTGTAGCTTTCGTTGAGGATGATCCAACCTTGGCGGGTGAGAAGTGGGCAATTGCCACCATCTTGGAGAAGGCATGGAAGTGCCGTTGCAGCAACACTGGGTTGCGAGCAATCTCGTCATCAAACACGTCGACAGCCACAGCCCACACATGTAGAGTCAGTGGTCGGGGAACATCAAAGTAGCTGAACGGTTCGGTGAAGTGAGGGCTGCAGTGAATGAAAGAGAGGGAAAAAACAGCAGAAAGAGACCATTAGCCTGCGAAGAAACTTGGAAAGTCCCTCAAGACAGCATTGCAAAGAAGCAAAGTCAACCACAGTTAGAACTTTGAAAGTGGTCCAAAAAACGGAAATATATTCATGACACAAAGAGTGAAATTCCCTGCTACAGGACACAGCAGTGCATCATAATGAGTGAATACTGAACACCGTTTCAGTTTAGCGATAGAGAGCTCGACAGAAGTATCACTTCTTTCCACACAGTTCTAAGCCAAACAACCTTGGCAAAACCAAATAGTGGAATTTTGCATATGATTACCGTTCACAGCTCTCTGTGGTCCATGGTCCTCGACCACGCACTGGCTGAAGTCAGATACTAGAGAGGTTAAGATGCGCGTTATTTCCGACGTGACGCGCAATTTCACGTCAAATTTGGCGTAAAACTCCAAATTTCGACGTGAGCAGCAGGTCACTCGCGTTGATTTTTCGACGTGCGAGCAAATAACGCGAGCTGAACTTTCGCGTCACGTCAGAAATAACGTGCATCTTAACCTCTCTAGCACTAGCTGTTTCAACCTTGTCACTGAGGTCTCCTCAACAGAGCTCAGAGTCAATGGTTATACTTTGTCATACCTGGCAAAGATCTCGAGAACCGGAGGACACACGACTCTCTGCGAGCCATAGTCCTCGACCACACACTGGCTGAAGTCCAAATCGCCAGAGATGGTGTTTAGAACCTTCTTGACTTTCCTCTTCTGCAGGCCCTTCAGGTAGTCTAGAGCTTTGCGTTGCTCTTCGTCAGTAGCAAAACCCAGCAACAGACAGGAGCAGGCACGGCTCTCCTTACTGCCCAGAAGTATACCCGGTGATATTCCCTCGGCAAACGCGTCAGCAACAGCGAGACCACGCCTGACATTCTCCGGGACATTGCCGATTAGCACCAGATGCAGCGTCATCTCCACCAGTATCGGCCATGTTTGAAATCTACTGTCCTGCATCAAAAAAGAAAGCATATCACAAGCAACAGAGTGTTCATAAAAATAAAAGGGCCAAGGAACTACAAGTTTTGCTATAATGTCCACTAACACCACCAGTTACTTGTAGTTCCTTGGTCCTTTTATTTTGTATAAATTAATCATTGGCTCTCCATCCGAGTCCATTCTAAGAGAGTGTTCATTCAACATGGAGGTGGTGGGACTATGCCTTCGCGGACCGGCATCGGCAAACGGGACGTAACTTCAGTCTCCCTCATTGGAATTGCACAAAATTTTCTGTGCTTTCTTCTAACATATCACACCGCACTCTGAGCACATGCCAATGAACCAAACTGGTCACTCTATGTACAAATTAGAAATTCTTCGAAAAATCACGCATACCGAGCTCTAACCGCAAAATGAAGAAAACCATGTAGAGAAGAGAGGAACAAGTTGCAAAACACAATTGCTACTATATAACTTGAGGTGCTAAACCAAAGAAAGGATTGATCTGTTGACAAGGAGAAACACAGTACCCAGAGCAAGAGATATACAAATTCGCGCACATTGACAACGCCTCCTTCAATGAGGTAAAAACATCATAAAACTTGCAGTAATGCATGGAACAATTGGTTTAGCACCTAGCCAAACATGTCACAGAGTTCAGAATATATACATTGTGGGGTGTGGCATGCACTGGCATCCTGCAATCGTGGTTAGAAGCTGCGGAACACCCCTAAAATAGGAGAAAAAAGGCACTCCAAATCTCAGCATTTCACAGCATGATGATGTATTAGTGACCACCTGCCACATAGGGAGTGCCTTCTATCTCTTCTGCTGCATCCTGTCCACCCTTCCTCAACCTCCTGCGCTTTTTCCTGGACAGCTTGATGTGCCCCAACTGCTTTCTGGCTGCACCTGACCTTCTCTTGGCATCCAACAGCACACTGGTGGAGGCGGTGTATTTGCCTACGGGTAGACCCATCTTGCAGAATAGCATCTCAATGCTTGCAGCACCATCGTTGAACCAGCTTGCTGCAATGTAGACTGCAGTTTCTACAGTCAGAGCGGAGCAGAAGCTTGTCTTGGGGCAGAGCTGCCACACAATTCCGTTGAAGCATTCGTTCTGGTTTTGTGTGGCGCCACGCATACAGCGCTCGAGTAGTGGGCGTGCGGACAGGTCCATGAAGATCGGCTTGATTACAGAGAAGATTGCTTCAGGTATGACGTTGTGGTGCTCGTAAGACGGTCCACCAGCTTGCTGTTGCTGCCACTTGCACCAGCTCTCCAGTCCCGGTGGGCAGTGCAGATGTTGGGGCTTCTCATCAGTTGACACTCGGTGCATCACGGAAGCCCATATGGCTTTGGCCATGGACTGTAGGTCGCCCTTGTTGCTGCGCACAGCCATACCATAGTAGGCTCGTAGTTTGTCTATAAGTTGGTCTGTGAGACGACCACAACCACTGATCCTGCCACCATCAGCCAACTTCTTCCCAGAGAGGTCCTTCTTCAGCTTCCGCAACCGATGTCCAACGCGTTTTTGAACATGGCCCACGCATTCTTCTTTTGTGATCTCCACGTCTTCGCCGTATGGATATGAGTCATGCACTGCCTTGAAACTCTTTGTATCTCCGTCCCTTATAAAGACACTGTACCGAAGCTTCCTCGTTTCTCTGGATCTCCTCCATATCTTCAGGGCAGCTTCACATTCCATTGCGGGTGCTGAGCTCTGGGTGTTGGCACGGCATTCATGGTTGTCCAGCTTGTCCTGCAGTTCAGCATTTGTCAACTCTTTCTTTGCATGCTGGTTCTTGAAGTGGGCGCACAGGTGGCAGAATCGGGATAGAACTTCAACGTCAAGGACTTTGCCTGTGCCCCATGCCATGGCCACAAAAACACCATACAGCGATGCATAGCCTCTGCGCATCCAGGTTCTGTCATACGTAACGGCAGTGTCGGCAATAACGACATCTCCAGGTGCATTGTCCAAGACTTGTGTCGCTGCCGCACTCATGCTATGCTCAGCAACAACCTTGGCCGATTTGTGTAGAGCCTTGGCATGTCCTTGGTATGCGGAGAAGGTCATGGGCACAGGCATATTCAAAGCAGCTCCCAACTTCAGCATTGCTCCGTGCCCGCGACCGATCCAGCGCATGCCAAACACAGCTCGTCGGTTTACATCCCAAACACGCTTATGTTTGTCTGACATATACTGCGATGTGTGAGCTTCACAGGTTTGACAGGTCAGCTCCAGGCAGGATGCAAGCCCTTGCCTCTTCGGCTCACTCAGAGTGACTGGTGCATGACAAATTTTGCAACACACAGAAGCCAACAAAAGAGTTTGAAGGCACACCAAGTCGACGAGCCTGAATCCATGAGGTAGTTCTGCATCATTGTCATCGTCCGAGTCTGAACTGGATCCCGAACTCGAATCGCTTGTGCTCAGGTCATCCTCGGAAGAAATCTCAGCATCATCAGAACTAGAAGGCAAATAATCGTTGAAATTTGGCAGAGAATCGTCAAGATTTTCTGGCGCACATGCTGCAGCTTCATCTTCCGATTCGGCTCTCAGCGCCGGTTGATTTCCATGAAATTTTCTCTTTCTGGGTCTGCCTGGTCGGCCTTGAGCTCGCTTCTTCCCCATCGCAATAGAAAAACAACGCCTGCAAGCTTGTACAATTGTCACAGCTAGTACAGAACGAAACAACAAAGACGTTTCCATCAAATAATTTATTTGAATCAAATTTGAATTTGCGCATGCGCAATCACTCTGACGGCTGTCATGGTAACCAAACCCATGCGCAGAGGTCGCCAAATCACTCCGCGCACTGCTCCTGAGATTTCCACAAAATTTGAATTATATCAAGGAAGGTTTTTATCATAACACGATTGATTGCGTTCTAAAACGAAAAGAACCAATTGCAAAATCAAAATTGTGAAATTTGCAGGTCTATCTCGATCTTTGAAATGCTCTATCTCTGAAGTCCTTTGAGCGAATCCCCTCAAATCTTCAGGAGTCGTGCTTCAGCACAAGAGCTATCGTTTGAGATAGTTTTCGACGCTTTCTGAGAGATTTTCATTTTTGACCTTCTGAAGGCATAGTGCCACCTGTAGTTCCTTGGTCCTTTTATTTTGTATAAATTAATCATTGGCTCTCCATCCGAGTCCATTCTAAGAGAGTGTTCATTCAACATGGAGTTAAAACACTTTTTTCATCCTCTTATTATTGTTTAAACTAGCTCTGCCTTTCGGTATTGAGCTCTCTATCGGACAGCCTGGAACCTCTCTGTTTATAGCTGAGTACAGACGATTACCGGTGACACGAACGCAAAGCGCCCGCACTATTGCCAGCTGTTATGGTTAAAAGTGGCAGAAGACAACCGTTCGCGCTAACGTCTTGCACCCATCCATGTCAAGAAGACTTGATGTGCATCATTCAACTGCAAACATGAGCATGTAGCCTACGCAATGCTTATTAGTAGTGTTGAAACGAGCGTATCTATAACAAACGAGCGATCAGTTCCACTAACGAGCAAGCTATCGAGCGAGCTTCATTGATGTGGCAAATATGATTATTTTTTTGAATAATTTTTTCTAAGTTCGATTTTTTTCAGCTGGTTCAAATTATCACCGCCGGCATTTGGGGTTGCTGCTGCTTCACTTCGGACTGCTGTTTGGTGTCGAGATATCTTTTCAGCGCCGTCGTCGATTAGCCTTTGTGAGAATAGACAGTTTTGCAAAGATAGCAAGTAGCCCTGGTCTTCGCTGCATCGCGGGAGAAAACTTACAAACGACTGAGCGTAACTTTCACTCGAATGGAGAGGTGACCGAAGCATATCCTGCGACAGGTCAGCAGATGCGGAACAAGACATCAGTAGAGTCCAACAAAGCTGCAACAACAACTGAAACAACTCAAGTGTCGTGCAGGCATACAGTCACTGTAAATGCGAGTGATTTTCACTTTGCGCGGGACTGTACTGGACTCTCGATCGACCAGGGAGTCGTAAAATATTTTACGAATCCCCGCGGCCCCGGTCGACATGTACTGCCATGTGTACGGAGTACAGTGTACGGTGTTCGTTAGTGCAAACGAGCTGGCCGTACAAACGAGCCGAGTTTCTGGCGAGCGAGCTAACGAGTATCCGGTGAGATCGTTTCAACACTACTTATTAGGGTTCTAGCCAAATTTGGTATGGGGAGGGGGCTGCCCCCCCCCCCCCCGTGAAAAAGTGGCACCCCTACTCATTTTCCGATTTTCGTGTTTTTTATGCAATTCAAGGAATATGCAGTCGAAAGTCACTATTAGATAGTTCATAAAGGCACATTTGTCTGGGGCGAAGTCCGGGATTCGCCACATACGCTGCATTTAGCGTTGCAAGACAATATTGGAAAGTGGAAAATAGGTATACGGGGTAGCTGTTTCCCATACCCGCCCCCCCCCCCCCCTACTATTTTGACCTGGCTAGAACCCTGCTAAACACTATTATCATTCTGCCACTTAAAGCAGGCGATGTTTAGAAACTGTAAGCCACAGCGACAGTTGGATGGTAGTGTCTTTCTTTTGCGAGATGGTAAAACGTTTTAAAGTAACATCAAGAGTGCACGAGTCGCAGGAGTGTGCAACTCCACTGCGGGTACTTTTCGGACAGAATTTCAAGTTGACGTCAATTTTACGATGCAATGTGAACTGTAAACAGTGTGTCCATTGTTATTAGGCATTATGCCTTATAAGGCATTATGCCTGTTTTGATTTCCACTATAAATAAAGTACCGTATTTTTCCGGTTGTAAGTCGACCTTTTATGACTAAAATAGAAGTAGAAAGGGTGTGGGTCGACTTACAACCGGGATTCGACTTATAACCGGGAACGATCAGTATCTTACCGAAAATGACCTGCACTGCATGCACGAGTGCACCATGTGTACACATTTAGCCAGTTTATTGGCCTTTTTCAAGGATTGGGACATTATACCCTCCAATAAGGAATGTTTACATGATTTGTTGATGTGTCAGTAGCATGGAGTGGTTAGTAGTGCTTCTTTTGTAGCGGATTCTCGGTCACATGACCTGATTTACTTCGGTTTCAATGAAATTCTCATAGTTATTGGCTTCATGAAATTCTCCTGTCTCGCGGTCACACTTATATGTATTACGACCGCTTTACCGTATCAGCATGCGCCGTTCACTTCCGCACCGTATTATCCTTATTTGCATGCGTACTACAGCTGTGTACAACTAGATTCCAGTGCGCCGCTGGCCTTCCCTTTTGGTATAGTTGTACCGTACACCGTGTTCAGCAGGTGAGCAGAATTCGCCGCTCCTTGCCTTTTGCCTTGCTTCCATTCTCTCTCTCTCTCTCTCTGGTTGTGAGCCGAACAGTAATGTTTCTGTCCTCTCTGTAATCTACAAAGTAACATTAGTTATGACACCAGATTCAATCGTTCGAAGTTATAGTTCTAAATTCACGAATCCAGACTTTTGTATAGAATTACGTAGCGCACTGCTACAATTGGTGACCCCGTCTAGTGTTCGATCACTCGCGATCGCTCAGTGGTCTGCACGCAGCATTGAATTTTAGTATTTTACGAGCACTGGTACAGTATGAATACATCAAACTCCGCAGCTAGCACACCTATCCGCAGCGTAGGTCGTGGCCAACTGCTGTCCAGAATCACGGGCGCTGGAACTTCCGCAGCAGGCGGTACAGCCCGCGACAGTGAGGTGGCCGCGGTCAGCTTGAACGTCAAGCTGCCACCTTACTGGGCTGCTGACCCCCAGGTTTGGTTCGCACAGGTGGAATCCCTGTTTTCCACCCGTCGCATCACCAGCCAGGTGACCAAATATCAGTATGTGGTGGGATCTCTGACACCCGAGTATGCGGCAGAGGTGCGTGACATCATCCTGGATCCTCCAGCTCAACAGCCGTACGACGCCCTCCGCGAGCGTCTGATTCACCGCACGCAGATGTCAGAACAGCAGCGTTTGCGCCTGCTGATTTCGGACGAGGAGCTGGGCGACAAGAAGCCTACCCAGCTTTTACGCAAGCTGCAGCAGTTGGTAGGTGAGAACGCCATGCCCGAAAAACTATTGCGCGAGCTGTTTGTCAGCCGGTTGCCCCAATCGGCCAAGTCAATAGTAGCATCCTGCCCTGCATCACTGCCGCTGCAGGATCTGGCAGAAATGGCTGACAGGATAGTGGAGGCAGCCGGTCCCAGTACGGCAGTACATGCAGTTCGCAACACTGGCGAGTCAGAGGCAATGGCCGCCATTGCAGCTCTCCGGGACCAAGTTGCCGCCCTGACGACTACTGTAACTGAGCTGAAACAGCAGCACGGCCGCTCTCGCTTCCGCGGCCAACCCCGCAGTCGCTCGGTCTCACCGCATAGCAGTGGTTTATGCCATTTTCACCGCAAGTTTGGTGTGCAAGCCCGGCGGTGTGAAGCCCCGTGCTCCTGGTCGTCGGGAAATGCCCCGGCCAGCCAGTAGCGGCTCCTGTGTCTGGCCCACCTACCTCCCGCCGCCTCTATGTCCGTGACGTCACCAGTGGAACCCGTTTCCTAGTGGATACCGGTGCTGACGTCAGCCTGCTGCCAGCCACTTCTGAACACCGCCGCCACGTCGATCCGACTGGTCAGTGTCAGCTCCGCGCTGCTAATGGCTCTGCTATTCCGGCTTTCGGGCAGAGGTGTTTGACCCTTGACCTTGGTCTTAGACGAGCATTCCCTTGGATATTTGTCGTTGCTGACGTGAAGGAGCCGATCCTGGGGGCTGATTTCCTCCATCGGTTCAGTCTCCAAGTCGACCTTCATGGACGCACCATCCGTGACAACTCCACTGACCTCCAGGTCAATTGCATTCCTGCCGGAACCGCATCGCTCAGCTGCTCCTTGGTGTCCGCCCCGGTGGCCACAGCACCAGCATTCACTGACCTGCTTGCCGAGTTCCCAAGCCTCACCAAACCATGCTGTTATGACCTGCCGGTCAAGCACTCGGTGGAGCACCATATTGTGACTACCGGCCCGGCACTGCATGCCCGCACTCGTCGGCTGGCTCCAGACCGCCTGGCAACGGCCAGAGCTGAGTTCCAGCATATGCTGTCCCTGGGCATCATTCGGCCATCCTCCTCGCCCTGGTCCAGCCCTCTCCACATGGTTCCTAAACCCAATGGAGACTGGAGGCCATGTGGAGACTACCGGCTCCTGAATAAAGTCACCGAACCGGATCGGTATCCGATTCCTCATATTCAGGATTTCACCAGCAGTCTCCATGGTGCTACAGTGTTTTCGAAACTGGATCTGGTCAGAGCGTATCACCAGATACCAGTAACCGCGGCCGACATTCCCAAGACTGCCATCACGACTCCGTTCGGGTTATTTGAGTTCATCAGGATGCCCTTCGGCCTCCGGAACGCGGCACAGTCATTCCAGCGGTTTATCGATTCAGTATTGCATGGCCTGGATTTCTGCTACGTCTACCTCGATGACCTCCTAATCGCCAGCTCCGACCACGCTACGCACCTGCAACATCTGCGCCTGGTGTTTGAGCGCCTGCAGCAGCATGGTTTGGTGATCAACCCCGCTAAGTGCGTTTTCGGCCAGCCGTCCCTGACGTTTCTGGGCCATCTGGTTAACGCCCAGGGCATCAGCCCGCTACCGGCAAGAGTCGACGGCGTGGCTCAGTACTCCCTTCCAACATCTTGCCGCCAGCTTCGCGAGTTTCTGGGCATGGTCAACTTTTACCGGCGCTTTATTCCCCAGGCATCCGACATCCTCCAACCACTGACGGATCTGCTTGGTGGACCCCAGCGTCCGAAGAACTGTCCCCTGAAACTTGGCACTGCCGCTGTCACGGCATTCCATGCTGCCAAGGACGCGCTTGCTGCAGCAACGCTGCTCATTCACCCCATCCCGGATGCACCCCTCCAGCTCGTTGTGGATGCATCAGATGGCGGAGTTGGTGGGGCCCTTCAACAGCTTGTTGATGGGGCATGGCAGCCGCTCGCTTTCTTTTCCAAACGAATGCAACCAGCTCAGAGTCGCTACAGCACGTTCGGTCGAGAATTGCTAGCTGCGTACCTGGCAGTAAAGCATTTCCGGCATCACCTGGAAGGCCGCTGCTTCCACATTCTCACGGACCATCGCCCGTTAGTGTTCGCCATGCAAGCTGCTGGTACTAGCCACTCACCTCGTGAGCTCCGGCACCTGTCCTACGTGGCTGAATTCACGACGGATCTCCGCTTCCTGCGTGGGGCTGACAATGTTGTTGCTGACGCTCTGTCTCGCGCCACTGTTGATGCAGTAACCGCGCCGCCGACCGCTGTAGACTTTCAGGCTCTGGCAGCCGCCCAGCAGTCTGATCCCGAGCTACTCTCCGCTCAGCAAGACACGCAGTCGTCTCTGAAGCTTCAGCCAATCCCGTACGGTTCCGCTACCCAGCCTGTGCTGTGCGACATGTCGACCGGCACTGCCCGCCCGTTTGTACCGTTGTCCTTTCGCAAGACCGTCTTCAACAGCCTGCACTCCCTTGCACATCCGGGTATTCGTGCCACTCAGCGTATGGTTTCGGCACGCTACGTCTGGCCCGGCATGCAAAAGGACGTCCGGGAATGGACCCGCTGCTGCCCCTCCTGTCAGCTGAGCAAAGTGACCCGCCACACCCAGGCTCCGCTTGGCCAGTTTCTGCCACCCGGTGAGCGCTTTGACCACATCCACATTGATTTGGTCGGCCCTTTGCCTCCCTCCGGTGGTTGCACCTATCTGCTGACCTGCGTGGATCGCTTTACCCGCTGGCCAGAGGCCATTCCGATCAAGGACGCCGCCGCAGAAACAGTTGCCACCGCTTTCATCGCTGGGTGGATTGCCCGCTTCGGCGTCCCATCTGTCGTCACCACAGATCGTGGCGCCCAGTTTGAGTCCGCGCTTTTCCGCCACTTGTTGGCCCTGCTCGGCACCTGCCGGACTCGGACAACTTCCTACCGTCCACAATGCAATGGCCTCGTCGAGCGTTTCCACCGCCACCTAAAGGCTGCTCTGAAGTGCCACCCTCATCCTGGTGCCTGGAATGCGATGATGCCCCTGGTGTTGCTGGGCATTCGCGCTAGCCTGCGCGAGGAGTTCCAGTGCAGTTCCGCGGAACTAGTCTATGGCACCACTCTCCGCTTGCCATCTGAGTTCTTCCAGCCACCGCCGTCTATGCCGTCGGTGCCCGTTTACGTTCAGTTCCTCCGGGACGTATTGCAAAACATCCGGCCCTCAGACGTCGGCCCTCGCCAGTCCAACCGCCCAGTATACGTGCCTAAGGATCTGTCAACGTGCGACTTTGTGTACATCCGTACCGACAGTGTCCGCAAGCCGCTCCAGCCACCGTACACTGGTCCGTTCCGGGTCCTCAAGCGTGCTGACAAGCATTTCACGGTCGACGTCAAGGGCAAGTCCGACCAGGTAAGCATTGACCGCTTGAAGCCCGCATATGCTCTGCCTGTTACAGCCGCTGCTGCTTCTGCTCTTTCTCTGATTGTCCCGCCGGTTGCTGCTGCTGCCCCACCCCCTGCACGTGCTGTTCGCTTTGCTACCTGATCGGCTGGGCTTCTCCGTTCTTTGTCGCCGTTGGCCGGTTATGTCGGACCTTTTCCCGTTGCCGTGCGGTTTTCATTTTTTCTTCCTTTATACGCTTCTTCTACTACGTTGCGGTTGTCGTTCCTCTCCTTTCCAAGGTTATCGTTTCCTGCCTCCGGCTTGTACACTGGCAGGGGAGTAATGTAGCGGATTCTCGGTCACATGACCTGATTTACTTCGGTTTCAATGAAATTCTCATAGTTATTGGCTTCATGAAATTCTCCTGTCTCGCGGTCACACTTATATGTATTACGACCGCTTTACCGTATCAGCATGCGCCGTTCACTTCCGCACCGTATTATCCTTATTTGCATGCGTACTACAGCTGTGTACAACTAGATTCCAGTGCGCCGCTGGCCTTCCCTTTTGGTATAGTTGTACCGTACACCATATTCAGCAGGTGAGCAGAATTCGCCGCTCCTTGCCTTTTGCCTTGCTTCCATTCTCTCTCTCTCTCTCTCTGGTTGTGAGCCGAACAGTAATGTTTCTGTCCTCTCTGTAATCTACAAAGTAACATTAGTTATGACACCAGATTCAATCGTTCGAAGTTATAGTTCTAAATTCACGAATCCAGACTTTTGTATAGAATTACGTAGCGCACTGCTACACTTTTGGTGATAACTTCGAAACGCAGAATTGAGACCTCCGGATACGGGGGTCGACTTATAACCGGGGTCGACTTACAACCGGTAAAATACGGTATACAACAACAACAAACGCATTATCAGACATACCCTAGACCTGTTGTGGACAAATCCCTATTTTGATCATGTACAAACAAGGTGTGCTGTGTGTAGTGGCTGAAGTTATACAATAACAATTTTATCTATACTGCAGAGATCTATCCAGAATCGGCAATATGCTGGCCCTGGCCTGGAGATCTGCAACTACAATCAGTTTCTACTTTGCAATATTAACGGATTAGTCCCCTTTGTCGATTGATGGATCAATCGGTACCAACGCATTCGTAATTCCGATTAGTAACTTCGGGTTTTGTTGTTGTTTGTTTTTCATGTTTTGAACTGTATGTTTAACTCATTGGATTTCTTTGTATGCTGCATCTCGTTATCGTTTATCTTTTCCTCTAGCCCTCTCGCTTAGGATGAGCTTTCTTTTTTTATGGCAGCTTAAGCGAAGGCTAAATACCTGCTTTATGCAGGTTGATGCCAACGCGAACAAGCAAAAATAATAAAATAATAACAAACAAGGACAAGGACACCGCGTTGATACCTTGACACCCAGTACAAACGTCGTTGAAAGCACTCGTGCGAGGAGTATTACAACTTTAATGCTCTCGGCTTGAAATTCTGTCGGGACATCACTGTAGGACATCACTGTATGACATCACTGTATGACATCACTGTATGACATCACTGTATGACATCACTGTATGATATCGCTGTACAGTCAGACCTCACTGAACCGCATACATCCGTTTTCCACAAAAGTATCCGGATAGGCGACGGAACTGGATAATCGAACACCGGTTTTGTTGGATGCATCACGTATGTTGTACATCTGTAACCAGCTATTTTCTTCCGGGTGGCGAGGGATCCGGATAAAAGAGGACCGGATAAGCGAGGTCTGACTGTATGCGGGAGTTGCACACTCTTGGCACAGCTGTAGCACAAACATGTACTTGCAGTATGGTGCTACGATATACCGGTAGACCATGCATAGATGAATGGCTGTGCTGTGAGACATTGTTCATGCGCATTGTGTGAGCAGGCAAATTCGGTGAAGATATCGCAAAGGCGGTGGTAAGCATCAGATAAACTGACTCCTAGATTTGCACAACGAATTGGACTGGAGCAACCATCGCGAAATTGCCATCCTGTGCACTCAATCACCTACGGTTCCCTGTAACAAGGC